TATCTGATCCTTTTTTGTAATTTAATTTGGGCACATCTTAATGTGTCTTTTGTCTGTGCACTTATTTACTCAGTAGTGTTTATAAATCACTGTTTATAAGCTTTTTTTCTTAAGATAGTGCAGCATTTGGTTTTTTTCAGCAGTGATCTTAGTTTTTAGAAGAAAATACAAAATAAGCAAGTCATCTTGCTTTGGGATTTTTTCTTTTGCCTAAGTTTTGGGTATTTCTGATGTTTAATTTATTTATCTTTGAGGCTCTGCATTGGTGACTTATTTCACATGGCATATTGCATTCCAACTGCTCTCTGAGGCCTTACTGGTGTGCTCCATGGGTGAAAATGTACACAGTCTCTGATCATAGACACTTGTTTCATTTGATCTGTTCTGTTGTGTTATAACTTTCTTGACTAATGGTTTCCTGGTGGCTGTCAAGGTGCTTTCGGGATTTTTGCTGATGGTAGCTTTTGAGCTCAGTGGTGGATATTCTAGCATGAAACTGAGTACTTCTTCAGTACTTAGCAAGCATGTTTTATGTGTATTCAGTCATCTACCCTATTCTTTAGGTCCAGCATTATTTTTCAAACTTGAGTTTAAATGTCTATAACTGCTGTAATGTTTTTGCACTACTTCTGCTATACTTCATTCTTCTATTGCTTGTTTTCCCCATCTTCTTGGGAAAATTTGCATCTGTTCAATACAAATTAAAGAACATTTGGTATGATGTAAAGGGATTTGATAAGAAAAGTAGAGAGACTACAGTTAATAACCTATGGATGAGTTTCCATTTTCTAGCACCTTTATGGCTCACACTAACAGTAGAGTAATAGTGGTAGATGTAGAGCATTGTCAGTGTTGAATCCTCCATTGTCCTAACAGCTGTGGGCTCGCAACACGAAACACTTCTGGAAATCACCACACAAGATCATTTGAACCCTGCCTATGCAGATGAAGAGGAGCAGTATCCTAGCTCTGCTAGCAGGGCTAAAGCAATTAAGCACTTCAGATAATATTCAGATTTGTGACACAATTCAGTGAACTATAACACTGTTATGGTGCAGTTGGTTGTAATTTCCATACCATTAGCCTCAGTTCAGTATAACACCTTCATATTATTTGTATGCCAGAGGTGGCATCTATAACATTTATTTGTCATTCCAAGTCTATCTTTTGCATCTAATGTTCATCACTTGTCACTTTTTCACACATCCCTTGGATTTAAAACTTGCACTGCCAGCAGTGTAATAAAACTGAGCAGATTGTAACATTTGGTCACCCACTTTGGTAACAAAAAAGAATCCCTTTTTTCCACTTCAAAATTTCTATTGTAAAATCTGAAGACAAAGGACAAAAAAAGGGAGCGACTCATTCAAATGCATGAAACTGTGCTACAAAGGATAATAGACTAACTTTGGATGAATGTGAACATTCAGCTGCCAGTGTTCATGCCAGTAGGTGGCTGTGATACTGTAAGTGTGCACATGTTCTTCAAGTCTAGAAACCTCTGTAGGCGAAGGCTTACAGAGTGTATTATTTGCTCTGTATCTCAATAGTTTGCAGTTAACTGTTTTTTTTTTAAAGAATAGCTGGATGTGAGCTTCATTTTTAAGATGTTTTGTTTATAATGCACAGCTACATCCTGTTAAGGAGAGGTTCAAAACTGAATAGCTGGAGACACAGCTTTATACAGCTGGATTGAGGGCGAGCCTTGTAATTACATAAAATTAGATTGTAGTGAAAAGAAATAGATTTCATTGGGACTTCCTGAAAGCCTTCTTATCCCTCCGTAAAAACAAGCATTTTCTACAGTCTGTGGTAGTTCTTTAGATTTATACAATATGCCTCCAATCGCTATGTTCCTGTGTTTCTGCGTGAGTGCCCTCTTTATGAACATTTCATTGCTGGAACATGAATATTCCTTTGGTTTGCTCTTTTTGGGAAATAGCCTAGGTTTCTCTAGCCAGTGACTTATGGCATATGTAACAGGTCCAGCTCATTCTTTGCATGTTCTGATAAAGAACCTGTGCTTTAACTCTAATATATCGCTCATGGAAATGCTTGACACCTAAGGCAAATACATTTCAAACTGAGTTCTAATGCTCATCTTAGTGTTACAGGTATTCTTTTTTTCTGGTGTATCTTTTCTAAGCCTTTTAATGTTCATCAGAAAATTTCTTATGGTGACGGTGCTTCAGGTAATTTCTGACTGCGTTTTCTGCTCTGTAAACATCAGCAAATTAAAGAATGAGCAATGAATTTATTGTATCAGTAAGAGGCTTAATTATTAGTGAGTTCCAAACAAGCATGTTTTCCAACTTTAAATATATCAACCTACTTATTTCATTCATCAAGTCCCAGAAAAAATTACAATTTCCTTGGAGTCAGCCTTGTAACTGGGTAATTGAGATATTAACTCAAAAGAGAAAGTTCATCATCATTTTCATTTTCAAAAACCCAGACTCAATGGCTAAGTTAGTATCAATAAATGTGAACTAGAGATGCAAGCTGCTTCTCCTATAGCTTTTCTTTTTCCAATAGCCATTGGTCATTGGAATACTTTCTAGCATACTTAAATCTTCTTCTGATGCTGGTGAGGCTTTTGTATGATAGGGTTTCCAAAGGACCTTTGTTCTCTGTCATCTTTCATATCAAGTGCAACACTGAAAAGAAAAAGCCAAAACACAAAAGCCAAGCACCCTTGTTGTGTAGACCATGAAGATGAGAATAATATGATTGGTGTTGTGTATTTTGATCATTATTGATTCAATCATCATCTTATCAGCACTAGTTACAAGTGAAAATGAAAAAGATCAAGGACCAACCCAACATCCACTATTACACAGTATTCATGCTGGATGGATCAGTCAAGATCAAAATCCTGCAAATACCACTGGGAGTATTGATCAACATGGAGTTACTGTTGCAGGTGAAAATGATCTTGAAAAAGAATCTTCTCATACAGGTAATATTACAGGTTACATTTTAGTAAATTATCAGGGTTTATTAAAGGTTTAGTTTTAGGATTTTTTTACTAACAATTTTGCATTCTGATGCCATAACAGAGGTTCTGTGAGTAAACCTGAGTAATTCTGATGTTATATTACTTTTAAAAAATTACTCTATTTTTCACACCTGTTACTGGAGGTTTTCTATCTCTCCTGTTTGGATTGCATGTCAAGACCTATAGTAAACTTTAGAACTGTCTCCTATGTTTTGTGTTCTGTGTCATGCAGTTAACAAGGTTTAAACAGGCTGTCTACTGGGGCCATTATATCTGTAGAAAACAGTGAATGTTAAATGGAAAAATAGTAATGTCTGTGTCATTTTTCACATCACATCTTTCACTCCCCTGTTGCAAATCTTTATTCAACTTGTTTGGGTTTTTAAATTTTTTGTTAATATGGCAATTGCATCTAAAGTTTTTTATCTAAAATACCCGCTCACTCTACTTTTGATTTATGACAAGATGATACTGGTGATGAAGGGAAGAAAACAAAGCATAGTATGGAATAAAAGAGAGGCTTCTCTTCCATCAGTTGAAGCAACTGAAACATAAAAAATCAAACAATACTATAAAGCTAGTAACTGAAAATTAACATATCTTAGTGTCTGTTCCTGTGAGTGCACTATATTTACTAGTTAATGACTGATGCACAGCACTAACCAATGCCAACAGAGAATTTAACAACCATCATCTGCTCTTGCAGATTATCAAATACAGGCCACTGAACACAAGCATATCATAAACATTATTTGAGATGCTATATAATGTGAATTTATTCCTTCAACTAAATGTAATCTTATTAGCAGAAGTTTTGTGTAACTCACTGCTTCAGCAGTCCCTAAGCCTACATTCCTCTAAGATATCAACCCCAGGTGTTTTATTTACATCCTTTAAAAATCTAGTGATGCAGTACAACATATTGCTGATATATATTAATACTATACTACTATAGCACTATAATTTGGCCTAGTTGCAATTAAAATTTTAACATGCTGTGATAGTTTTTTTGTGGTTTCTTTTATTGTACAAAGTAACAATAAAAAATTTTCTAGGTAAAATCCTTCAGTAATACCAACATTTGAAGCTGATTCTGGGAGGAAACTTGGTCTTACAACTACTATGAACAGAACAACGAATTACAATGTTTTTCTGTATCTTGTCACCACTCACAGAGTCTTGAGCAACAAAGGAGAATCAACGCCTGTAGAAAGGGTTCTTTACTGTCAGTACTGATATCTGTAATGTAAAACACACTGTAGCAGCACTTGACAGTGTCCCTGAAGCTGAGGATCTGTGGTCAGCCTGAGATGCAGGTCAGGGAATTCTCCTGACTGCTGTCTCTATGTCCTTTCTCTGTGTCCACTGTCCTTGGGAATCTTTTGGATTAAGTGAGAAAGTGGGTGAGAATAGCAAAAGAAAATATCTGATCAATACATTGAGAGAGCAATGATGATGTACGGGAGGACAGAAGGTCCCCCTTCCCTTCCCCTTTTGTGAAAAGGGTAGCAGTGGTTTAAAGTGAATGGGAGACTTGATCATGGTGGAAATGGGAGGGGTACAGCAGCACACACATGGAATTCACAGCTCATTAAATCATCCTGGTAACAGCTGTTGCCTCTCCTGATGGTGCCCACCATGAAGATGCAACTCAGCCACCTCTGCCTTCAAATAATGAACCAGGACAGGGCACTGAAGTCATCAGACATCCCACAGACGCCCCTGGGAATGGGGTCTTCCACAGGACCACAGCTAGTACGAACAAAGCTGGAGATGACTCTCCTCTGATGGGTACCAGTAAGAACAATAGATCACACTCATTTCTCATGCTTGGTGTGAAATGAGGCATTATCTCTTCTGACACTGACTCCTTTTCTATCTTCCTCATCATGGGGGTCTACATTCTCAGTGTGGGCTTGCAGTGCAAAACTCTGTGGTGGGATCTGTGCTGTTGATAGAATTACCTTCTGGACAAAGCATAAAGGACTCCTTGCTGGAACACTTGGCCATTTCTGTCCTTTCCTGAAGCATGTTTCTGGGTGACCTCCTGACTGTTCTGGGAGACATGCACTTTGGTGATTCGGAATTCCTTGCCCCATCTTTCTTTCTTTGGCATCAGTGGGCTCAGGCTTGATACGCTTTGGCACCATGATTGGTGCGATGGAGGTGCTCTGGTTGGTTAATCAGATGTCTTGCTCCTGTGACTCAGCAGCAGCGCCATCACCAGGAAATGCTGTCCCAGTGGTGAGGGCAGGGCAATCATAGAAGAAATATGTTCCATAAATTCTGCCTTCAATTCCTTACTCCTCCTCATTGGTGGATTGCCAGGCAAGGCTGCCAAAGATCTGGTCACAGTATGACCGCGCACTTCTGGGTTACAGGGTCAGGTTGTTGCTGCTGTGGTCTCTTTCTTCTGAAAGTTTTCCCTTTCCATCTGTCACTGGGGTCTGTATATGCAGCCAACATCTTCCTCCAACACAGTGAGCATGTATGTGGTGTTTAAGGGTCTCTCAGAAGCCAGTGACAGTGTGGAAGAAGAAGGGAAGGCCTTCATGTCTTCTCTCCTGTGCTTTGGAAGAGGAAGATTGGTGTGCTTTCTGGCTTGCTGTGGTACAGGAAAGAGGGAAATAATGTGGGTGGTGGCTTTGTAAGCACTTACTTTTAAAGCTGATCATGCCATCGTCATGGCAGTCACAGAGTCCATGGATGATGTTAACCAAGAGAAAGCAACCAAGGAGCCACTGGCGCCTGGCACTCCACCTGGAAGTGAAAGTGAACAAGCAAACACCACAGATGTTTCTCATGTCAATTGGACACCTGGAATTTTTCCATACAATGAAGATCTTAGCCAATTGCAGACCCCTCTTCCTACTAGTAAGAAATACAAATTACAAGCATTTTCATTTTTCCGTCAGTCAGTTATTATTTTAGGCAATGGCAATCATCCAAAAACATGTGTACTAACCATAGTTGCAAAGTATTGTCATTTTATTATTTCCTTTTTGAGTTTCCTTCTTGTTTAAAACCTGCTCATAAGATGTCATTAAAGGGAATCTCTTCCTATGCAAAGCAGATGACATTTGCTAAAAGGCTGAAAATAGTGTTTTCCAAATAACCTTTTCTTATATTGTTCTCTCTCTGTGATAACACAACTATTAAAGTGAACAAGTATAAACTTTCTCCTCATGCCCATACATACATGATAGCATTTTGGATTTCTTTTTGCTGGGCACAAATTATAGCTATGAAACACTTAACTATCTGTCACCATCCATACTCCCTCTACATTAGTTAAATATATATCAAAAGAAAGATAATTATCTGTGAAACCTTTTTTCTATGTGTATTTGCTGTTGATATCCTGACAGTGGTTAATTATAGCTATGTTACTGAGCTGTAACTGATATTTAATTTGTGAACAACTGCCTCTTTTTTTTGAAGGGCTTTTCTTCTAATAGAGTTAGTGCAGTTAACAGTAACTGTGTTTGGTTATTACACCACATACAGCCTTTGTTTTTTCATGTGAGTGTGATCACATGCTGATAGTACGGGAAATGAAGGGACTTTTCCTTATTTTCCTTATTCCCAAATGCAGTTTCCATGCAAATAATCATCCTAACAGTAAGGTTTTTTTTTTCCAAATGCTATTTCTAATACACACTAATCCAAATATTATTTTCATGCACTTTCTTGGAAGTTAGTGAAACCATCCCAGGGTAGTTTTTGGCAAATGCTCTGTGGACATTCTCTGGACATAAACAAGATTATGTACATATTTGTATAGCATTGTATATCCAACCCTTTAAGATACATTGTCAGGTAGAATATGGCCTACTTTTTTTTTTCCAGAATCTTTCAGAATTTTATATAAACCCAGTAAAATTAGCATTATCAAAAATGCCTGAGGTACACTGTTTTGACAGAGGCACAGCAATATAAATGTGAAATATGAATATGATAGAATTTTATTGGAAAGAGAAATATATTTTTCATAATGGTTTCCTATGACAACAAACTTATTTCTTGACTTTCGCTGCCCTATTAACTTAATTAATCCAAGCTACCTCCTTAATTTTATGTGCAGACATTACACACTATGAAAAAATATTTGCTACTTTTCTGTTTTGAGCACATAAAACCTGTAAGAACTGGTTTGAATATAATTTTCAAGGTGAATGTCTGTGTTGAATCTTTGCATTGTCAGTGCCCTGGCAAAAGCTCATGAGGCCGTATTCCCAAAACAAGATAATTACTAGGACACTTCTATAATCATAAAAAAGTTTATTTCTTGAGGGGTTAATTTATTTGTAAACATTGCTCCATGTAGGAGTAACAGTATGGAAAAGATTCATGTATGTATTGGCAGACTATAGTTAAAAGCTTTCTCTGAACAAATGAATAGTTTGCTGTGATGTACTACTTTCTTTCACTTGCTTTTTCACTACAGCAATGTTTAAGCTGTGGTCTGACATCACATTAATGATTTTTCTGTTGTCCAAGTGTCCATGGATTAACAAATCTGTCCAGTGAAGGAATCCAAGAAATGATTGTCAAACAGAAAAAAACATCTAGTATGTCATCAAATTAAATGTAGAGAGCTTTTGAGGATCCCGCCCTGCCACTTGCAAGCTCCTTCCCAGAGCCAAAACAGCAGGGGATGTGACTGAATCCTGCTTCTTATTCTCTGTGCTCAGGGGAGGGGAGGGATGAATGCAGCAGTTCCCTAAGCAAACAAATTTTAATAAATGTTTGCATGCCTTTCTAAGGGGCTTTGTGGTGGAAAAGCTCTGGCATTTCTCAAGGATGATAAAAAAACACCTTAAAAAAATCTGCTGCGATGTGGGGTAGACAAGTGAGTGTGTTCCTCCTGATTAGCTTTCTTGGAGGATGGCTCAGGACCTTCAGTTGCTGGATAACTGCTCTGTCCTTTGTGGTGCACAAAACGACTCACCAGTCAATGTTTCTTGCTAATAAAAATAATGAAAACATCTGGAAGATTCATGATCTTCTTCCTGGCTAAGCTTAACAGAGGGAAAAAATGTGCTTCTCAGTTTTGTATTTGCCAGCTGCTATTAGGAAATGAGATCAGAAATGCTGGCTAGAAATGAGTTGCAATGCGTGTTAAAGAAAAAAAATAACTGTATAGCTGATTAAAGTGATTAATTTGCTCTATTCAAGTCTGGAAGACTTCAGAGAGGTGGAGATCTGTGATATCTTTTTTTGTAGTGATAATGAAATAGTAGTCTCACATGAAATCTCTATATTTATAGTCTGCTGATGATTTTATACTTTGGATTGCCATACAGGAAGAGTGTGGGCCAGAGTTGTAAATGCATAAAAGTTCAAGCAGTATGGCCAGCACAGGAAATACTTGACACTGGAAGTATGCATGTTGATTTCAGATCTAATACTGCCTTTGAATAAACCACAACTTATTAAAAAGGACGAGGGGATCCACCTCTAAGTTTACAGAGAACATTTTTCTATTAGGAAAAATACTTTGAAATTTTAAAGTCCTATTCTATACATAGCTATCATATTTAAAATCATTCAGAGAACTATCCTTCTATTTTATGAAAGCATTAGAGTTTTAGAAATTCAATTTTATCCTGTGTAGGAATAAAATTTAAAAGTTTCAAAATTAATCCATATTGGTCACTTTAGGTTTAAATAAAAAAGTAAAGTTGTTGGGTTTTGTTCTCTCTGTTCTTTTCTCACCCTCTTTTCCCCATGGAACAGACAAGATGTTTGACGTGTACAACCAAAAACTCTCCAAAATGTTGCCAACATTCACATGTCTTTACATTTTCTCCTGAAAATTTCTAAGCAAATACAATTGCATTTTTGTTCACAACAGTATAGCATAATCAAAACTGGAACGTACGAGAGACAAAGGGAAAGCTATGAGTTTTGTTTCTCAAAATAGTAAAACTAGCTATAGTTCAGATGAGTGTGATGATTATATTCTATGTAACAGTTTTCAGTAGAAATACTTTTTAATGACGTCAGCAGAAACATTCTAGAATAGGATTTTTGAATTGTGAAAATCATAGTCTGTGTACCTCGCTGATAAATATTCACTAAGCATATTGGGTCTAATAGATAGTTTTGTTCTTTAGGACCTACCTCCAGTATATATGGTAAACAAGGACCACACAAAGGACATTATGAATCCACTACTTTCCCTGGAGAGACCACAATGACAACAATAGTTTCACAACGAAGGTCGGCCCAGGTACCGGGTAGGTTTTTGAAGTAATATGTTTTAACAATTTAAGCACAAAATTGTAATAATATGAACTGAAGTAAGAGATGAAAATCTAGGTCAAGCACAGTTTTTCACACTATGTTCTGAATCACATAATAATCAGCATTTTCACTAGTAGTCTGGAAAATGGAGCATATTGTAACTCATATAATTTTCTAGCAATATCAAGATGAGACAAATCATGCATTTGGAAAATGGGATTAGGATCCAAATAACCTTTAGAAATTGATGTGAAATCAGGCAAAATTCAGTAAAGGGATATGCAAAATGTCACATCCATGAAAATGTTTGGTGAAAATAATAGCTGAGATGGGTTTTGCAGAATAGGGCTTGCAGATTAAAATGGAATAGAAACAAGCCAACACCATGATACAATTGCAAAAGAATGCAAATATATACTGGAACGTATTAACAGTAAAGTCATTTTTAAAACAGAGGAAGTAATAATCCCACTCAGGCCTAGCAAGTCCAGAGCTGAAGCTCTGTGTTCATTTCAAGGCATTGCATTAATGACATACCTAAAAAACCAAAGTAGAGCACAAAGAAAATTTTGGAAAGGTAGCCTTTGAAGCACCTGTTGAAGACTTCATTGTTTTCAGAGACAACTGAAGGGAGTTATAAGAAAAGTATGCTACAAAAAGAATGCTTATTAGTTTTTCACCATGGAGTAATAACCATTAAATAATTAGAAGTAACTTGCTAAACAAGGGAGCCTTGTTTCAAACAAACAAAATTAAGGAGTTAGCTCTTAGGACAGTATCTCTGTCTCTAATGTTAGTACGGCATAAAGAATAGGCTATTGGGAAGGTTGAGAAATCTTTACCAAAAGTGTTAAGATCAAATGGAACATTCCTCAGCCATCTTCTTAGTGACCCTGTTTCACTGGAGTGAAATGTAGCTGATATGAACTCTTAGGATCCCTTCCAGTTTTGTAGTTCCCTCTTTTTTTTAGAGCTTTCATCCAAAATACTCCTTAAAAGTAAAATTTTACATGAAAAAATGAACATTTCACTCTACATGAAAGTCATCCTGCTTTTGTTCCTGAGATTGTGGATGTGTAGTTGCTAAGCCTTTTCCTTTGCTCTTGAAGTAAATCAGTGATACAGCTCCCTTTCACCTATGCCTACCAAAGTACAGCGCTCATAGGTGCTAACAGTGATGGGGTATTTCATCTGAGTTGGCCTGTGTATAGCTGAATGATGAAAATGCATTCGATTTGCACAGAAGCACTTTGTGAAACAAACAAACATTCATGCAAGCTAGGAAAAAAAGTCTGACAGTTTAAAGAATGTAAAAGCTTGTGTTCTTGCAGTTCTTCAAAATGGCAAAACTACATGAGATACACTAACCCGCCCTCCTCCCCTCCCTCGTGTCTCCCCACAGAATGGCTGATCATAGTTTGTGCTCTTGTGGCACTTGTGTTGATTCTTGCAGTGTGCATTGCCGTTAACAGTCGGAGAAGGTAAGGGAGCCCTTTTATTATTCAAAACACACTGTGCTACTATTTTCTTCATCAAGAGGCTTCAGAGCTTTCTGAAAGAGCAGAGTAGCATAACAAAGGAAAGAGCTTCCTCTGCGAAGCTCTGTGACTTGGGGTGTGAGAGCCCAGGTGCTCACAGGTCACACATCAACCTTCACACTCATGAGGAACCACGTGAAGCCAGCAGCTGTATAAACTGTTTGGTCTTTACTTGTACACGGAAATTAACTGTATACAGGTCATATAGAATTAATTATTCTTTACTTATTATTTATTAATAGGAAAATTCTGTCCACTGAGAGTTAAAATATGTGAGATTCACATAGGCAGTAGCAAGCACAGGATGAGCTGAATGTAATCCTGCACAGTGTTGAAGAGCTGTATTAGACAATCGCTGTCATAGGATTAATTTGTTCCTTCCAAACAAAAGACAGTATCACAGCTGGCAGTCACAGGGATATATCGTAGTGTAGGCTATGATGTTCTTAACTCTTTCTACTATCTGGGCGCTGTTCTGAGGTTACCTCTCAATTGTCTTAAACAGCTTTTTGCTACTTGAATGTAAAGTTGAACTCTTTAACAGAGTAACTATTTTCTGCTTGAATGTTAAATTTGAACTTTTTTATCACAGTAACCATATAATACGTGGAGATTTATTTCTAGTCACCTGGTTGCAGGAAAGCACATGTTAATACTTCTGTGAAATAGTGTCAAGGTCCTCCAAAGGACAGCGTGAGGGAACAACCCAGGCAGCCCCTGCCCACGATGAAGGCTTCTATGAGATAAAACAATGCAAACTAAATGCCAAATTGTCAAGTAGAGTAAACCGATACCATTTTTCTGAAGTCAGCAGTGAGATGCCACTTGCTATGTTTGCCCTATGGCTGTATCCACAATATCAGCGCTTCTCTGACAGTATTATTAGGCATCCTGGCAAATGGCATCCTGGGGTGTATCAGGAGGGGGGTGGTTGTAGGTCAGAGAGGTTCTCCTCCCCCTCTACTCTGCCCTGGTGAGACTGCATCTGGAATATTGTGTCCAGTTCTGGGCCCCTCAGTTCAAGAAGGACAGGGAACTGCTGGAGAGAGTCCAGCGTAGGGCTACAAAGATGATCAAGGGAGTGGAGCATTTCCCTTATGCAGAAAGGCTGAGGGAGCTGGGTCTCTTTAGTTTGCAGAAGAGGAGACTGAGGGGAGACCTCATTCATGTTTATAAATATTTAAAGGGTGAGTGTCACGAGGATGGAGCCAGGCTCTTCTCGGTGACAAACAATGATAGGACAAGGGGTAACGGACACAAACTGGAACACAGGAGGTTCCACTTAAATTTGAGAAGAAACTTCTTCTCAGTGAGGGTGACAGAGCACTGGAACAGGCTGCCCAGAGAGGTTGTGGAGTCTCCTTCTCTGGAGACATTCAAAACCCGCCTGGACGCCTTCCTGTGTAACCTCATCTGGGTGTTCCTGCTGCGGCAGGGGGATTGGACTGGATGAGCTTTTGAGGTCCCTTCCAATCCCTAACGTTCTGTGATTCTGTGATTATTAGAGACCAGTTGAAATAGGAGAGTATTGAGCATATAGTGAAACATAAATCTCTACAACTTTCTTTCTGTGAAGTCGATTCTGGAGTTACACAGCCTGAATGGCATGGCTTATTGATTTATGTGTCAATCTGTTATGTCTTTAAAAGTAGAGACTGCCACTGTTTCTTCTCTCTTAACCCAGAGTCAACATAGGAACAGACAAACAGGGTCACTATGGCTAAGTATAGATTGCATCTGACTAGAAATGAAACCATCTCAGAGCTGTAAATTATGCCCTAGATACTGTTAATGGAAAACATATCTTTTACTTAAGAGCTTGCATGCAGCTGAGAGTGAGTCACAAAGAGAGCAAGTACATGTGGGTGCACATATGTGTACAAATGCATGGATTAGACCCTAGTAATATGTGTTAATGCTTGTGAGAAAAATTTTTGAAGCAGGGATATACTGTGGTATGCTTGAAACAAGTAGATATTTTTTTCTTTCACATTAGCAGGATCCGAATAACAACACAAATAAGTTGAGAATCCTCTCATCATCTAATCTGATAAGTGCTGATGTGCTTAAAACTCGTAGAGAGGTAGTTGCTGTGTTGTCAGCATACTGCATGTGAACACCAGCTAATCTGAAATTAACACTGCAGCAGTGCTATGAGAAAATGGCTGAGAAAATAGGATTGAGCATTACACTAAGGACATTTCAAGCCATAATTTATTTAAAAAGTGAGAATATGTATATTTATTTGTGTGATGCTGTCGGTTATACTATTTTTAAATGAAGGCAAACTGCAGCATCTCCAGCTTCAGTCTCATTTGGGTTGTCGGAAAAGCGTAAATTCCTGATTCAGAAATCAAAAGGTAGAGCATTTCTAGGTAGGAGGTCTTCTCAGTAAACAGAAAATTGCTTGGATACAGTTTGTTGGGTGGGTTGGTTGGTTGGTTGGTTGGTTTTAAATTGGTGTTGTCATAAATTATTTTAACCAAAGCCAAAAATGGCCAAGGTTCAGTGGGGTCCTAGTTAGTTAGTTGTTCCTCTTGTTGCAGAGAAGGCTGGCTGATGCCTGTTGTAAAAAGTGTTAGGATCTCCTTCCAGGGTCCAACAGAAGATGCTGCCCAGCATGTCAGGAAAGACATGCTCTTTCAAGAGGCTGTGGAGCTCCACAGCTTTTCACTGGCCTCTTTCAGTGCTTCACGGCTGCAGGGCAGGAGTCATTCCCAAGGGTGTGTGTAACATTAGCACAGTGAACTGAGCTACTGCTGATAAAATAACCCTCATCTATTGGACAGTAAATATGAAAAAAGTATTTCAGAAAGATAAAAGTATAACTGAACTGCCAAATTAGTCTTTCAGGCAAAATATGCTTCATGTAAGAAGAAAGCACTTTAAAGTAGAACTTCACAGAGACATTGTCCCTCTTAAAAGCTGTGCTTTGTATATTCAGTTTACATAAAGCTGTTCGAGGACAAGTAGGATGTCCAGCACCTGTAGCCAGAGAACCATCTTAACAGCCTGGGGCAAATCTGGCAGCTGTGTCACTAGCACTTTCTTGCTACCCTGAAGAACACGCAGCCCACGTTGACCAGCGTGCATCAGTTTTGAACTGGTGACTTTTTAAAAAAGTGTATGTATGTGTGTGTGCATTCAGAGCTACATATAAAGTTTACTGGGCAGCACTGCAGGAAGTGTAACTTTAAAAGCACAGCAGCTATTCCCTACCTTAGTGTCATAAGGAGCTATGCTGTTCATAGTAGCAAGAGTAGTTTACCGTGTTTACTTGCTGTTGGACTGCTTTCAGGCCTGCCATGCTAATATGAAGAAGGAAAAAGTTATCCTGTATAGTGAGATGAGAACTTGATCCTAATTTTCTGCTAACTTGAGCATTTTCAAAGGTGTGGTCCCACGTCTGGATTTAGAATGACTCTGTCCTTACAGTGGGATATATACAAAGTTCATAAATGTGATATATCCATATATTTGATATATCCGAACGTTAGAAAATCTTTTCTAGCCTTCAGTAATGAATGTTATTCCTATCTGTAGTAAAGTAGCTACAAATTGAGTGAGTCAAATATTACACATATAATGCTGGATGCTTTCAAAAACAAAATATGCAATATGGAGAAACTTTGCACTTTGTGTAAAGTTAAAAATATGTAAGTTAAAAAATTAAACATTGTGTAAGTCTGTACTAGCAGACACAGGTTTCATTTCCAAGCACCTTTTCCTAAATATTGACTTCCTATTTTTTTCTTATTTCTGTTCGTCTCCACTTGTAGTACTTATTTTCTTTTTATTTGTTTCTAGATGTGGTCAGAAGAAAAAACTAGTAATTAACAATGGCAAAGGGGCAGTGGAGGACAGGAAGACAAGTGGATTAAATGGAGATGCCAGCAAATCACAAGAAATGGTGCACTTGGTTCATAAAGAACAGTCAAGTGACCGAACAGGAGCATGTGACGAATTCCTGACGGTTAATGAAACACAAAATCATCAGGAGCTTGACATGAAGAGTGGAGTGTAATGGTACCAAGCTGTCAAGTAGATCAGAGCTGGGGAAATCAAAATCACGTGGAACTTGGACAGGAATTCGCAGATGCACTGTGCTACTGATATCTTTTGAACATAATTATACATATGTTTTATTCAATTTTTATCACTATAAACTGATGTCTGAGTTACAAAACTTATGTTTTTCTTTCTGAAATAAGCCCCCAAGAGTTGCATAATGTTGTCAGTTCTAGTTCCTACACAGAGGACGCTCACTGCGTCCTGGGTGTTAATAGGGATAGAAGTTTACGTCGTTGTTCCCCAGATGGAGTGTCTTTGCTGCGTGGATCTACAGAAGTATCCAGTCACTCCATCTTACAGGCATTTAAGGTACTAAACTTGCCATGGTATAGGAGTAAGTGAGGAACAAATGTCAGAGCAAAAATCAAGTTTAAACCAAAAACGCCTCCTGTTCAATGTCTAAAACATCAGAATCCTCCAGAAATGCTTTCCAGCCTGGAAGAGCAGTAGGTGCATTCAGAGTCTGCCAGTATAAACAAAGAGTGACATTTTATGATTATTTATAATAAAATAAAGAAAAGAAAACATTTGCTTGGTCTGCAATGAGAGATACCCAGAAGGACAAAAATTATTTATCTCTATTTTTAAATGTCTATGGATATACAGCAAGTCTTCTTGGGAGGGGGAATAAAAATATGAAAACATGAGCTGAAACATAATAAACTTCTATATTATTCTAACAATCTGTACAGTTATCCTTGAGTCTTTGAGGTGTTTGTTGCTCTTCCCCCTCCCTCCTGCATTGGTCACAGTTTGTGCATGTTTTTAATGAGTCTGTTAGTTAGGATAATGAATAAAACAGAATGACCCCAGCTCTATCACACATGCACAAATTAAGCAATTGGAGATCATTAGGGAAGACGACAGTATTTTATTCTTGATGAAGAGGTCTCTATCTTCTTCTGCTCCATTTTACTTAGGAGTTGCTGAGCCTTGTAAAACTTGTTTCCTCTGTGACTATTATGTTATACCAGTCTGCTGATACTTTAAAAGTTGCCTTTCTATGATCTTGCGCACTTCCTCTGAATTCTATTTCATCCTCGTTTTTCCTTCTGCTTTTTAAAAATACCAAAGAAACATTGCTTGCTTCTTGGTGCCAGAAGTTAAAATTCTACAGAAAAGATCAAAGAGAACTAGAGGAAACTCTCCCTAAAGTAGCTGCAGATGCATTGTTATATGCTTTTGTTTTGACCTTATGTGTCTGTTATGTAAAGTATTTGTATTAAGCTATGATGCTGTGCATTATATTGATATGAATTGCCAGAAAGAAAATTATTTGCTACCAGTGGTCTGTTCCATTTTTAAGAAAGCATATTGCAGTGGAGGGAGAATGATAACTTCTAATTGGGCTGCCTCAAAAAAATGCAAGTAAAAGCAATCTAAGGTAATTGCAACCAGTGGTCTGTGTCAGTTGAGGGATGGGGAATGTCCAGTAGCAGGGTTATTCAGCTGTTCCTGTCAACTGACCATAGCATTTGTCTTTGAACTCATGCTCCTAAAGCATGTTATTTTATATTCTCCATCTGAAGAAAACTGGAGAATGAGTATTCAGCTAGCTAAATACTAACATTAGCTACCATTATCTTTAGTGGAACATAAAGCACAGACCTGTTGATTATATGTCTGGCCACAGCCCTTTAGCAGTTTCCCATGTGTTTCACTGAGTTGCTCAGCGCCCTGGTATCTGCAGGCAGATCGCAGGGGCAATTTATGCCTGGGAAAAAGGTCCCAGGATGAGGAGGGATTTTAAAGTATACATAGAATGTTTTCTGACTTTATGTAGGTCAGCACGTTTCTTCTCTGAACAGCCACACAGCTCGTGGTCCAAAGGGGTTCAAGCAAGCTGAAGCTGATGAGGTCAAGGTGATTTACTCTATCAGTACTTGTGGTTCACTGTCAAACTTCTCAGGCCTTTAATGTATTTTAGTACTGAACTGTGTAGAGGGAAGTCTGTTGACTCTGTGCATTGATTTTTGTTTAACTCCTGTAATGTTCTTAAGCAAGCTTTTCTATTTGTCATTATAACTCAAAATGATCTTTTGAAGGCTGTGTTTAAACTGGTGTTATGTATTCATTTCACTAAGTGTGGAGATTCAGAGTAAGAATTATTCCTCTCCTTAAATCCTAATTGAATACAGATCTCAATCAAAAGGAGACTTATCATTGCCTTGAAGGCTATTTTTTTCTTAAAATAAAAAAGAAAATGCTGTGGTTGTGGTTATTCATCTCTCTATCCAGATGTTTAATGGAGAAATCCACAAACTCCTTCCTAATTTATCTAGCGTTCAGTAGCTATAAATGCACGGACAACACTGGTTGGCTTCTTTTTGTATTTGTAAGTAGGGAGATGCTCAGGTTCTCATTACAGAGGCGATGCCATTATTTTATGTATGCTGAGTCTTTTTAGATTTTGTCATGTGATTCATGTGTAGTTAAGTCTCACTGTAGTTTCAAAACTAGATGTCCATTTCATATGTGTAACATAGTACCTATTTTTATTAATCTTGGTTTTATTATTTGAGGAGTTGTTTGTGTGCATTTTTTATATAGAGCACTTGATATATTTGTGTATTTATTTAACAGATTAATCAAAATGAAAGAAAATATTATCTCTAAATTGTAACTAGAAATACTATTGCTAAAAACACATTGAACTGTAAAATACGCTTCCAAAAATAAACTTGATTCCACATTGAGGATAAAAATTAATACCAGCATTTTTAGTGGGAGAGAAGTATCCAGCAGGATAGTTGTGTTTAGTACTGGTGAGCCAGGGTTCATTTTTTCTGCTTGCAAAATCTAAGCCAGGTTCAGCTGAAAGCTGTGTGACCTTGTCTGCTCTGCCAGCCTTCTATAAGCTCCCCAGATGCTCTGGGAGTTATCAATTAACTCAGCTTCCTGCTAGAAGCAGACAACTTGGTCCAACTTAAGGTCAACCCAGTAAGATCTTGACAACTATTCCTGGCCCACTGAACCAATGACATTTCAGAGAGTGCAGCACTCAGCAAGATCCAGCCCTTCCTCCAGGGTGCTGACAGACAAGCTGATCTTGGTCTGTTCTTGGTGCCTGGGAAAAATGAGGATCCCTCCTAAAAATGCTGAGAAGACCAGGTTGGACCTAAAACAGATCCTGCGATCTGCTTGTGTTATTCCTTTATCTTGAACAGTTTTAAATAAATGTAATCCAGACCACCACTCTCATGGAAATACTGTCTAAAGCAGTAAGCGTATTTAGAAGATTGAGTGTATGCTTTACGAGAATGTAATATTTTAATCATATTATTCCACCTGTATTGTCTTGACAATCTTACAAAGAATGTTTGATTAAAGCAGAGAAAGGACATGCAGCCATCATGTCTACCTGTATGGACGTTTTAAACCCTTTCCAGAACATCAGATCCAAAATTGTATTTCTGCACAATGTTTTTTCTGTGGTAGGGATGTCTTTTGTGTGTCCTTTGTCAACAACAACAGCCTCTGTATTAAGTAGTTTGAAGTGTGTTGCCTGGAATATTAGGAGACAATTACCAAGTGTTTCTTAGCACACAGAAACAATGCTGGGCAGAGAAAGAGGTCAGTGTATCATCCTGGTTCGGGCTGGCCCTAATTATTCTTTCTGTAGATGAAGGACAGAAATTAAGTCCTCTGACAACTATGTTCTCCTTCAGCATACACAGACAGCAGGATATTTTGCAAGCCAGCAGTTAATGGATTTATTTTATGCCATATTAGGCCATTATCCAATAATTATTTCTTAGCCTTATAAAACAATTCAAGATTGAGACTTCTCTGGTTGCAAGAGATTTGATTAGTCAAGTACAAACCCTCTGGGTAACCACAGGCACTGCCTAGTTTTCCCCCGTGGAAGGGAAAGGGCAAAAGGTGGCAAGAAAAGTGCTGTGCTGGGCTGTTTCTTGGGATGCAGTTCCAGAATTGTGCAAAGGTGTTTTGGGGGTGGGAGCTCCAGGGTATTAGGGACGGATGGAGGATGCAGGAGCTGGGAGAGGAAATAAAGGGAGAGAGAAATTTCTGTGCTACCGGTGGGAAAGACCCTTCAACGCCCCTAGGAATTTGGTACTTGAATGTTTCACAACCCTGAGAAGGTAAAAAGAATTTGCCTTTTCCTGTGAACACCCCATCTCCAAGTCACCCTCTACATTCACTGTCTCAGTTGCAAAATGATTTTGAATAATTTTCCCCCAGTAGCTTATTTCTCATTATTACTATGCCATGCTGCACATGGCGTCTACCAGCATCATGCTGGGAGCAAGCAGCTGTGATGGTAAGAAATGAGAGGCAAAGCACAAATTTAGCAAAGATGAGTAACAGTGTCTTTTGTACAGCACAGAGGCTGTACAGTTTGTCTTCCCCATCTCATCCATTTGGAGTAAGGTTAGCAATGGCAAAATTTCAAGAACATATTTCTTCTTGCTCATCTTTTTGTTTTTAAAGTACCAGACTTCTATGGATCTTCACATAGGTCAAATATGCTGCTGCACAGTTTTTTTAGAAGTTGAAATTGAAGAAGCGAATCCATCATCAAAGAAGCTCTCCTGACCTCAAGGGAGCTGATTATTGTTAAAGTGCAAGTAAAGCAGAGGTAGTAAAAGCTTTACATATGCCTTAAACACAAATGCCTTTCAGTTTTTTTCTGGATGGTTCCTGCAAGCCTTAGAAAGGTTTTGCCTGAGCAACAGCTTCAAGGAGTCTCAAACCCAAAGGGTTTTGGATGAACAAGCAGATGAATGAAACCCATTTTCATACATCCTCTGCCACAAATCTGTGCTTTGATAGTTGATGTGAATATTATTAGTTTTGTGTTTTCTTTCAGAAAAACAAAATAAAATTATGAAGCTTTGGACCAAAACAACTCCACAAAGACTGTCAAATGAAAATATGACTATTTTTTGTTCTGAGAAACAGACATAGTTTTAGGTAATTTTAATATCCCAG